ATGTAAGTCTGTTTTTAATCATTATTTGATATTTTCCTAGGTTACCACCTCTAAAGAAATAATCCTAACTCCTTTTTATAGCCAAGCCCATGTTCAAGGGTGTGGCTAGCTTTAGCTTGTGCCAGACTGGAAAAGATTTGAATAGGGTGTGTGTCAATTGAGGGGAAACCAAGGGATCAGAAGATCATGACTCATTAAATCAGTAAGTATTCACTAATTACCAATAAAATATATGACAAGTATTTATTCCCTGCCCCATGCCTATTACCGAGACATGCATAAAAGGAGTGTGGACAAACTCTGCTTCCTCCCTGGCACATTCCCAATCCTCCCCCCACCCCAGCCTCACTCCCAGCCCTGGTCACTTGGAACTTTGTCTTACAGTTAGTTGTACAGGCATCTGTCCTCTCTGGTCTGTAGCTCCCAGTGAGTGAGATTCCTCTCTGAGCTGCCTCTTGAATGCACCCCTTAGATTGTCCACATTGCCAGTGCAGGTTACAAATTTGTCAACTCCTTCCCTCAGGGCACGAGTAAGCAGGGCCCCAGCAGCAGAAGTGTGGCCAGCTACACCTACTTTGAAAGGTAATTTGGTCATACCTATCAAAAGCCTCACTTTGAGAAATGTTTCTTATATATACATGTAAATAAAGACAAATGGAGAAAAATATTAATTGCAAAATCCTGAAAACAATCTGGAAAGTCATTAAACACATTAATAGATGTTTCCTAAAATACAATAAAATCTCTCAAGCACAAGGCCCTGGGTTCAACCCCCAGCACCACATACATACACACACACACACACACACACACACACACACACACACAAACACACAATACAATAAAATACATATTTTATAATATAAAAATGTATTTCAAAAGTTGGAAAAAATAATATTCGCATATGGAATTGACTGGGAAGGGATATGAAGAAACTTTCTGGGCAATAATAATGTTTCACATTTTAAATGGAGTTGAGGTCACACAAGTGTATGCCTTTGTCAAAATTTGGAGCATGAGCTACTTAAAATCTGTATGCTTTGTTCTATACTGATGTTACTTCAAAGCAAATATTGAACTCCATTTTTGTGCATGCTGAAGTATTTAGGCAGAAGTGTGCTTACGTCTGCAGACTTCTTTGAAATGTACTAAGGATTAAGATATATTGATGAGCCGGGTGTGGTGGCACACACCTGTAATCCCAGAGGCACAGGAGGCTGAAACAGGAGGATTGAGAGTTCAAAGCCAGCCTCAGCAAAAGCGAGGTGTTAAGCAACTCAGTGAGACCCTGTCTCTAAATAAAATACAAAATAGGGCTGGGGATGTGGCTCAGTGATTGAGTGCCTCAGAGTTCAATCTCCAGTACTCCCCCCATCAAAAAAAAGATACATTGATGAATGAACAAAGGCATAGATAGAAGGAGAAACACATAATAAAGCAAGTACATATAATGTTAATTGCAAGATTAGGTCGTGGAT